CATTGCACAATCTGATCTATGCTAGTCATATCTTCCGTGACTCCCTGGTTGACATCTAGTCTTCAGTAAAAACAGTGATAATATTCCTACTGACCTGATAGAGTTTTCACTCCATCTGCCATAAGTGTGTGGTTCACAATATGAGGCTTAGAACTCTATTGTTGTCTCTTTACTTGACGTAAGGGTTATTTGAAATAAAAAGGGAGGGTTATTCTCCAAGCAGACTGATAACGCACACACTCTTAAATCAACAGATATTACAGCTATTTGAAAATGTTTCTCGTGATGTAACAAAAAATATTATTCAGGGTTCTGTTTTAGACGAACTGTGAACTAATAGGTTTTTTTTTAAAAAAAAAAATAGTTCACTTGGCAGGGAATTGGTAGATTTTCTGTGTAATTTGCTATTCTCCTAAAACTCAGAGCAAACCAAAATGTCAGCCTTGGTTTCAAGATGTGTGTTGTGTTTGAAAATGGAATTTTTACCACTCCAAATAGCAAAATCTTAATTTCCATTAGGATTTTATGAACTGTCTGATTATACATCAGAATATTCTCACATCACTGAAAGACCTGCTGGTAGTGTACAAGGCAGTCAGATGAGGGAAAGTCAAACGTAATTATTTGTACTGGGAATGACATATTTTATTAAATGGTTTATCAGAAAATATAGCCACATTGCATGCTTTTTGCTCCCCAAGGATTTATTTATTTTAAAAGACCACAAATCTCACCAAGTCTTCACGTGCTCCTTTTTATCCATTGAGAATAAATCATAAATGCATTCATAATTTGCGTCTTTTTTGCACCCTTGCATTCTCTCTAACGTAGTACAGTGGTACCTCAGGTTACATACACTTCAGGTTACATACGCTTCTGGTTACAGACTCCGCCAACCCAGAAATAGTACGTTGGGTTAAGAACTTTGCTTCAAGATGAGAACAGAAATCGTGCTCTGGCGGTGCAGCAGCAGCAGGAGGCCCCATTAGCTACAGTGGTGCTTCAGGTTAAGAACAGTTTCAGGTTAAGAACGGACCTCCGGAACGAATTAAGTACTTAACCTGAGGTACCACTGTACTGTAAGTTTAGGCCTTGTGTGAGAGTATGTATCTGAGTAAGATGTATATATGGGGTGGACATCGTGTTGTTTTAACCACCCTTCTGAGTCTGACGGGATTCATTATTCCTTCAAGAAAGACTAATCACTGAGTGCTGCCAAAATTTCAGCTGAATCATCACATGCAGGTAAATGCAGTTGGAATTGCCAGTTGCAATATGACTCTTGGGGGTGGAAAGTATTGAAGAGAAAGAACAGCACAGCGGTGGAACATTTCCAAGTGTGTGGCCTTCTGTATAAAGTGGTTGGAGACTGTATCCACCTTGACCTTCTTGTTAAGCTGAAGACATTGTATAATTAAATAATTCTAAAAATTAGTCAGTAAACCAGAGTAATTAGGGTTGCCACCTTTGTTCTGCCAAAATACAGGACAGGACAGGGTGGGGCAGGGGAGTTGGGGGGCAATTCCTCCCCCCCCCCAATCTGGTGCTGAAGCAACTTCAAATTAACCCATTACAATCTATTTCAGCCTAACAGGATAGCCCCTCTGGAATTTTTCACACACATACACATGAATTTGTAAGTCTATCTGTGTGCTTGGCTAACCAGAACTTAAATACATGGCCTTTCATACATCTTTTCAAACACATGCATTTGGAGAGGATTCCTAACCTGGTGCAGAGAAAGAGAGGTGTGGGTGGGACCTGAAATACGGGACAAAATACGGAATACAGTTTTTTACATTGAAATATGTGACAATCCTGTATTATACAGGACAGGACAACTCTCAGTAACCTCCTTCAGTTCCCCCTACAGTCTGAGCTCTGCAGGATAGCAAAACCTTCTACAGATGGGTATACCAACAGGCAGGTATATACATATGGGAGCAGGTGTTCCTTCAGATAGCTAATTCCTGAGTTGTGTAGGTCCTCCACTGTAGGGCATTATGTGCCAACAGAAGCATCTGAAATTTGGCTCAGAAGCAAATTGGAAACCAGTGCATTGCAATAATCCAAGTTTAAGTTACCATTGCCTGGGCCACAATGGTTAGACTATCCCTGCCCAGAAATGGCATTATCCCTGCCCAGAAATGGCATTAGCTGAAGCTGGTAAAAGGTGCTCTTAGCTGTTAAGGTCATTTGTGCCTTCACCAATGGTTATGCACCCAAGATCACCCCCCCCCCAGATTACATTCCTGCTCCTTCAGAGGAGGTCCAGAACAGGTACCCTGCCTAATTCCCAGACCCAGGAATGGTGCAACCCACAATGGTGTCAAGATTGAGTTTTGACTTGTTGGCCCTTGTTCCAGTCCACCACTGTGTCTGAGCAGTAATCAAGGTTCAGTAAAGTCACATCTGTACTTCTCACTTCAAGCTGTTCCTGTTGGAAGAGGGCGAATCTCTTCAACAGAGAATGTACTGGAAATGCCTCACATTCCTTCCTTCGGATCACTTAGCAACAGTCATTAAGTGACTAAGCGTCCTTAGCAGCAGCACTACATCTGTATCTGCCCAATTAGCCTTAGAACATTGCCTCCACATTTTGCTTTCTTTATTGATGTCCGATTGTGTTGCTGTTTTGAAAAATGAAAGCTGAGAGTCTGGACCTTTTGTTGCCAGTGCCGGGGGTGGGGTGGGATGTATATGAATATGAACTAGAAATTATTCAAAGTACTGCTCCCAATCTGAATGTAGTTCATCTTTAGTAAATTTGACAATTATGGGAACTACTTTTTGGTATAGTTCAGAATATTTTGAACTAGTTCAGTTGAACTTTGTTCAACTGAACTAGTTCATTCCAAGCACTGGTCATGGGGTGGGTGGCTTCTGATAAGGTAACATAAAAATAAATATGGACAATACTTTTTTAGCATGGACCTTCAAGGCTGGTGTCTTTGACATTTCTATAGATCCTGCCCATCTCTTTAGAAATTGGTAGTTTCCAGCAGTAATTGTTCAGCCTTATCCCATGTCTATCCACCAATGAAATAAGAGGCCTTCTCGGTAGTGGCACCCTCCCTGTGGAACGTCCTCCTATCAGATGTCAAGGAGGTGAGTAACTATATAACCTTTAGAAGACATCTGAAGGCAGCCCTGTATAGGGAAGCCTTTAATGTGTAATGTTTTATTGTGCTTTTAATTCTGTTTGGGGTACAAACAACAACAACAGCAACAGCAATGTCATGGACCTTCAAGTATTTCTAATAATTCAAATTGCAAGGTGGTCTTACAATTTGATGTAACATTTGCTAAGTAATAGTAAAGTGTCCTACATCAGTTGCTTTGTATATATAGAATGCTGCTGTTTGGAGTATTAATGACTGAGTGAAAAACATTAACACACATACAACTGGACATGGTGGCTACACATCCTTTTTGAAAATGTGTTTGGGGCTTTCAGGGGGAAGAGAGAGTAGATTGAGGTTGTTGAATCGCACCAAAGGTAAAGTGCTGTGACGCCATCTTTGCGTAAACTTTCAGGATGCTACAGGAAGGATGTTGTGCTGAAAAGCCTTCCCAGTATCTGCACTGTTGCTCATTTGCAGGCAGCTACTCACTCTACTTTTGGCCAAGTGATCCTGACGCAACCAATAGGGTTTCAAGAAAGAAATCCCAAAGGTTAATCTATCCATTATTATAAATATTTATAAATGGGTTGGATAAATCATACAGTGTAATTATCTACCTAACTAGTCAAGCCATTAGGACATTAAATAGCACAAATCAGAACTCATTTGCTGCATTACTAGATTGATATTGATATGAAACAGCTCAGCAGCAGTGCTCATGAGCATTTACTGTGATTTCAAAATGAGTAGGGAGCCATATAGAAACATTTCCATCGGGGTTCTGCTGCTGCTTTTTATTTAAAGAAAAGTTAGACAGATATGAACGGTCTAATTAAAAACAAACCTGTGAAGACCATAAGTACACCAGTCATCTTGATACATCTTTGTGGTGTTATGATTGCTGGGGTGTTGTGACACAGAACTGGGGGAAGGGAGAAGATCATGGAATGCATTCCTGTAAGGCTAGTGTCTAGATTTTGGAATGCCAATGGAATGAACTCTCAGCATTGATTTTTGTGGCCCTCTGTTAAATGCATAACCTCCCAAGTGGACAGAAAAATACGGGACATCCCATTTTTTTGTGTGAGATCATGGTGACCATTTTGGGTGCCATGCTCTCTCGTGTTCTTGCGCCTCTTTTTGGGGTGGTTCTATCTTTCTGTCTTCACAAAAGCCCTGTAAAGCCTTGTAAAGGCTAGTGGATAGGGAGTGACTTTCCCAAGGTTGCCCACTAAACTTTGTGGCTGAATGCCGATGTGAACCTCTCTCCCACCAGGCGTAAGTCTCACACTATAGACAGTACGCTATACTAGTAATACAGTAATATAAACATTTGGGAGCATGACAGATTCTAGAGGTTTCATCAGGTCTGAGGGATCAGATTTAAAATTAGATTAATTCCAAAACTCTAGCAGAGGCCATCCCAATCAATCCATTTTAATTGGACCCATTCAAAATTGGTGTACTGGAGTGGGGGGGGGGGAGAGAGAGATGCTTGTTTCTAGCCCATTTGCAATTTCTCTTCAAGTCCTTAATTTTTGTATGTGTTCACAAATTTATGTTGGAGCCTCTCAAAAAAAGTAGTTATTGGGTGGCATGTATAAATGCTGCAGGTGCAAAGAAATGCAATTAAATATATTTTAAACAAACAAATAAAAATGTTGTCTTGTTTATTTACAGAAGGTTGCCTACCATTTAAAATTAAATCACCAAGTTGTTGTTGTTTTTTGCTACTGATGCAGCTTTCGTATCAAAATCACCAGTTCATTTATAAAATTCTGGTTAGACTTACAAAGCAAAACTGATAAAGAACATACACATAACTTGTAATCACTATCTGTTTATTTGTGCTTCCTGTCCCTCAGAAATGCAACGGCTGTTGCTTAGTGTACCCTCTTTGCAGAAGTTGGAATGTGCTTCTTAGTTTCACTATAAGTAATAAATGTCACGGCGTACGATTTATTGTCCCCTGTCCCCTGCTCCTCCAGGCACAAATGCTTTGCAAAGACACCATCGTCACGGGAGGGGTTGGCTTCACTTGCACTTTTACAGTGCTCTCCATTTACCTGGCAGAATCCTTAAGCTCCAGTTTTCACTTAAACCAAGAAAGTGGTGTGAGACTGACAGTGTGGGCACCTACCGTAGCATTGCATCTCCGAGCAGAGGAGAGCCTGCGGGTAGAAGCAGCTGACATCCCCCAGGCAATCTATAACTTTGCCACACAGATCTGAGGCATGAATTCTGAAATATGCAGGACAAGGTAGACTTGCTAGAGTGCTGTTGTTGTTTTGCTGTTTTACACAAAGCAGAAACATAATTTTTGCAATGACATTTAAATAACAATTATATATATATATATATATATATTTTAAATGACAAGAAGTAAACTTTTAAGCAGCATATTTTCCTGCCAGCTCGGCTGGAGATGTCTCTCCTGTCGGCATCGATGGGAGCTGTGCAGACACACCTGGGGCATTAACAAACCCTTTAGAATTGCACATCCTACCTTGATTTCTCTTGAGAGTATTGTCTACCACCAACGTTAGGAATGATGCATTTTCTAAGTTATTTGCTTCCCTGTATCTCAAATGACGAGTTCTAATTTTGGTTCAGCTGTGCCATTCTGCATATCCCATTCCTTGAAGCATAATGTTCATTGCGCACATGTAGATCAAATTATATTTCATACTGTGCCTAAATACATTTACTAGAATGAGATTCAAACAAACGTGTTCTGAGTAATTTTTCTTTCTGTTAGTCCTTTAGCCTAATAATTACCTCGGCTGTTTCATTGTACCTTGCACTCCCTTGCAAATTGGTTTAGTTGAAATTAGTTATCTCTTTTCTTTTTTGTAAGAGTGGCCTTAAACAATATTTGGCTTTGCCTAATGATATGTACAGAAGACAAGCCTAAGTGGAACATCAGCTGTTTACATCAGCTCTAACAATTAATGCATGTTAATTTTTAATTACACTGATTGTACTACAGGCGGAATGTATGTTTTTTCACAGAACAGATGTACTAGTCAGTTTTGCTGGTGAATATGCATATCGATTAGCTGTGGCCGCTGCCAGCATTTGAGAGACAGCCGGCTTCAAATGTGCTGACAAATAGATGCTTTACAGTCCTGGGGCAAATGGTTATGCATCCAAGCTATCCATGTTACATTAAAAAGAGGCTTCTGTGAAAGGATGCGAGAGAATCGGGCATGCAAGATTTGCAGCAGTGATGGTGTTTTAGGTAGTCCTCATTGGGTATACCCATATTTGAGGGAAAGACTCTCACAACTTAGAACATAGCATGAGAACATTAGAGAAAAGGCTCACTGAATTGAGTAACCTTCTTCCCAAATTAGTCTACACGCTGTATCCAGGAAGCCCAGAAATGGGTCAGAAAGGGAACAGTCCACCTTGCTATTGCTCCCTAGCAGTTGGTATTCAGTTGGAGACTGCACATGGGCATACTAATAGCCATTGGTAGACTTGGATGCATCCCTTCTGAAATTGTCTATGGTGAAGCTACCTTATACAGAGTTGAACTATTGGTTCATCAGTAATGTCTGCTTTTAAGGGCACTGACTTTCCAAAGCCCTACCAGAGTTTTTGCCCCCAGTCTTGCTACCGTAGATCTCTTGTGTTGAGGCTTGCAAAAATGAAGCTTTTCAGCAGTAGAGCATGTGCTTTGCATGCAAAAGGTCCCCGGTTCAATCCCTGGCATTTTGGCAGGGCTAGGAGACACTTGAAACCAAGGAAAGCAGCTGCCAATCAGTATAGACCAGAAATTTTGAACCTTTCTGAGTCCACGGTTCCCTTGACCAACTATATCTTTCTGTGGCAACCCTCTGGAGCTCAGGAGCTCAGTTATGTCACTCCTTGCCTGCAGAGCTGGCAGCCTCTCACCCTTTTTGAATACCCTCCCTTGTGGAGTGTTCCCTCAGCCTCCTCTCCTTGGGAGTTGTCTGGGCAGCCACTGCTGCAGCCCCTGGTCTTTGAGCTGCCCTCCTGCCCCAAAGAGATGTGCCTTCTCACACTGCCCCACAAGGGGCCTGGGACTTGTCTGTCCATTCCCAACAGCAAACTGGCTGTCTGGGCTTCCTCACCCGCTTGCTTTCCTTCCCCAAGGCTGCCTCAGCTCCTGGCAACCAGCACCACCTGGCCAGCTCTAGAGGCACCATTCATATGTGGAGTTAGTAGCCAAGGCTTCCGCAACAAGTACAGTGGTACCTCTGGTTACAAACTTAATTCGTTCCGGAGGTCCGTTGTTAACCTGAAACTGTTCTTAACCTGAGGTACCACTTTAGCTAATGGGGCCTCCCACTGCCGCCATGCGATTTCTGTTCTCATCCTGAGGTAAAGTTCTTAACCCAAGGTTAGCAGAGTCTGTAAGCCGAAGTGTTTGTAACCTGAGGTGTTTGTAACCCAAGGTACCACTGTAGCTTTACAAGCCTTTGGGAGGCAGAGACATAAGAAGGCATCAGAAGAGGAGGGAAGGAAAGAGGGACAGAGGTCATTGTTGCCTGCAGCAGGCAAGGCACCCCAGGGTGCCACGGCACACTGGTTGAAAACCACTGGTATAGACAACACTAAGATAACATGGACCAATGGCCTCAGTTGGTATAAGTCAGATTCTGTTGTTCCTATTGGTTATATGGCTGAGCAAAGGCCCCTTTCCTCATCATTTGACAAGTTGCCACCTAAAGTTTTGATTACTGGGCATTAATTTGTGTTTTTAGAAAAAGAAAACATAACAGTTTTTAAAAGCTCTCATCTAGAGCTTTGCTCACTGGGCATTAATTTGTTTTTAGAAAATAAAACATAATTATGATCACTAAAATCTGCCATAGTCTTGAGAATTTGATGTATATTAGACTTCAGACTACTAGGCCAAATCCCTTGAGACTATAACAAAGTGTTGAAAAAATCAACAAAACTGCAAACTTCCAATTTGAAAATGGATAGCAATTACTACTTCTTTCACAAATAGGACTTTTTAGAATATGAAGTGTTTATGTTTTTTTATAATAGCTTTCATACTTTTCGGTATGCAGTTGGATATGCAGCGTCTTTGAGTCAGTGGCTGTGGCTGCCCAGTGCCATCAGTTGAGGGCAGGGAGGGCAGGGAGTAGAAAAATGGAGCCGAGAAGTGTCAGCATTCTACAACTGAGTAAGAAAAAGGTACCAGAAATAGAAAGTGCCTTTTTACTTGTGGCACCTTGCTTTTGGAATGCCTCACATGAAAACCTGTTTATTTCTCCAGGATATTCTGTCTGAATATTTAGGTGGTTATGCAACTGCTGCAATTTTATAGGGTTTTTTGTTTTGTTTTTAAGAGCTGCTGTTTTAATGCTTTTTTATTTTTTGCTTTGGCTCTTTGCTTTTAATGTTGCTGCATTCCCTAGGTATAAGTGATGCTGAAAGGCAACCCACACATTTCAAAAATAAATACAGTGGTGCCTCGCAAGACGAAATTAATCCGTTCCGCGAGTCTCTTCGTCTTGCGGTTTTTTCGTCTTGCGAAGCACGGCTATTAGCGGCTTAGCGGCTTTAAGAAAAAGAAAACAAACTCGCAAGAACTCGCAAGACATTTCGTCTTGCGAATCAAGCCCATAGAGAAATTCGTCTTGCGGAACGACTCAAAAAACGGAAAACCCTTTCGTCTAGCGAGCTTTCCGTCTTGCGAGGCATTCGTCTTGCGGGGCACCACTGTAAAGGTGCCTTTCAGCTATAGCAATATGTGTGCATTTTCCTTTGCATTTTTAAAATACAATATACATTGCATTCAGTATATACCGAAAAGAGCCTCCCTTAGATACATTTGTATTAGATATCACCATTTGTTGCATTCTGCAAAACCTGAAACTCAGCATCACAGACTGGGCTTTGTATCTGTGAACTGGGCTGCAGAGGTGGGCAGATATCTTTCTGTTCAGAATGCAAGCAATTTTCTGAACAGGAGTTCGTTGGGACAATAAACATACAGCGTTTGGCGAGACACACATTTTGTCTCCGTTCAATCTGCTTTTAAAACTGCATGATTTCTGTTGAGGAGCTCCAGCTACATAGGAGGGATGAGTCCACTTTGCAGAGAGACACAGCCCTGTCTATTTATCGGCACAGTTCAAGAATGATACAGAAGTGAGGAGGAGAATGTAAAGGATGCCTTATTAATGGATAATGAAAAGCAGGTATTTGAGAGCTTGCCTGTAATTACCCAGCTGATACTAACACTATTTGTTTTTCTCTTTTAGGGTTTAACTAGATATGATGTGGGAAGTACATGATTAGTATTTCCCTTAAAAAAAGATAAGAAAAAAAAAAAGATAGCGGTTGCAGGAGTTGTAATCTGTTCCAGGACCATGGCACTATCTGCTCAATTTTCCTGATTTTTCCCATTCAAGCTGCCCTGTGTGTGTACCTTACAGGCACTGATATCATACCTATACATTTTTTTTCCCTGTAGGGAAAATAAGCAGCTTCATATCACAAGCGTGTCTATGTGATTTTAATCAGGAAAACAGTTGGTGGTGGGGCAGAGGAAAGGGTTAAGGCTTTCTTCGCAAGTTATGGCCCTGATTTCCCCCATGGCTGCTATTATTCTATTTTTTATTTTTATTTTTTAAAAACCAAACAAACCCTAAAACACAGAAATCCTTATCACAAACATCTAGTGTTACATCTCATTTGGCTTTTACCATAGTTTAGCTGCCGATATGAGAGGATAATGCTCTTGTGTTGTCTCTTTGCTGGAGATGTGGAGTATAATGAAAATTATCACCTATCAGCTCTGATGATGTAGGGTTGTTTCCAGTGGAGCCTTATGCAGTTTCAACCCCCAAAGTGTGTGAACATAGTTTGCTATTACCTTGTTTTCGCTTGCATTCAGACTTGCAATTGTATACTCCACGCTGCCCTCAACCTTTGACATCCCCAGGGACGCGTTGCAGGCAAAACGAAGCACCTTTGAATAACTGTTTAGTTTAATAGAAGAGTTAAGACCCATTCATTTTAATGGAAGAGTTAATCAACGCGCTGCAAAGCTGGCGGCATTGGAAAGTAGATGTCTGCCTTTCATGAGGGACAAAGATCCCATCATTGCCACACCACAGTTAATATTTCGAGGTAGTGTTCTTGATCCAGGAAGCATGCTTTGAAATAAGGAACAGGTGGATGGCTGGGTGAAAAGCAGAACAGGGCATCTGCACTGCAGAAGGGGGAATTTCATCAAGTACAAGTGACACCTGCTGAAATTTCCTTTTGAGCACAGTCTCCAACACCTGAGACTCTGCACCATGTGCCACCATTTCAAGAGTTGTGCTCGGCGAAGTTTTCCTGGTAGCAGCACTCAGGTTATGGAACTCCCTTTAGGTAGTCTGTTTCTGTCAGCCATGCGATGCTGTGTCCATACTTGTCAACTGCCCTGGGGAAACCAGGACATGCCGTCTCCCCACCCCCACCCCACAAGAGTACAGTGGCCATTTGGGGTGCCTTGCTCTAGCCCAATTTTGGGTGAGATCTCACACTGTGAAGAGCATTTTTTAGGGTCCACGATCTCGTGTGGAGCCCCCAAACCTGCATTTTTGGGTGCCATGCAGGGCAGTGCAGGAAAGGACAAGGTTAGATAAAGCAACAGGCGAGCGCGCTTGGGTGCCTTTGAAGGTGAAGAGTGTTTCCGGAGGCCAACTGTTCTGGGCTGTGAGGCTTGGATAGAAAAGGTTATTGAGGCTTGCCTGCCATGCCCACCCAGAGTTGTGGGGGGCCTGTGAGGAAATAGGGCAGGAAGGTCTCCCTACTCACCATGAAGTGGGGCCCAGGCTTTGGGGCTATGCCTTGTCACAGTCCGTGGAATGGGCAGGGTTTGGCTCTCTTAAGGTCAAAGATAGCTTTCTGCTCTTCTCATTTTCCCTGTAGATAATAGTTTTGAATAAAATGTGGGCCTAGTTCCACCCACCACCTATGCCTTGCCTCTTTATTCCTGGGTCCAGTAACAAAAGCTTCTATTGGCTCCCTCTATTGACAGATTTCTGGAAAAAAACAAATAAATGCAATCTGCTTTGGCTTCAATTTGTTTCCTGCAGCAGTGTGGTTTTTATACTTACCCAATTTTTAATGTCTTTCACTTGCTGATATTTTAGTTGTGTTTGGTTGCAAATCTTATTAAGGTTTATTTTTTTGGGGGGGGGTTGCATAGAAATTGTTCTTAAATCAATAGAAATCTTAAAAGACATTGCTGCTCTATTCCACTGCCCGTGGCCTCAACCCTCATTTATTATCTTAGCCCCTACACACACCTCCTTTTCAGAAGCAGTGCTGAGGGTGAGTGGGTGTGTTGTGGGGGGTGGGGGGTGGGGGAAGGGGCAGTGGTGGCATCGACAGACCGGTCCTTCCAGGTTCCTGTGGTTTTACAGTGTCACTTGTGCCAGACTAACTGCCAGTAAAAATATCACTGTACTGTGGAAACATAAGATTGGCAGTTTCCTTTTGTTTCTGCAAAGCTCCATTTCAGACATGTAACCCTCACTTCGAAGCATTTCAAATCAAATTGTAGCATACTGCACACCCACTAGGTGGCTTGTTGGCCTACAGAGAGCTGTAGAAGAAAATTCCTAAATTCTGTGAGAAAGGTAATTCCCGCTCTTCCCCCGTCCGCTTGGAGAGCTGTTTGTCCGAGTAAACTAGCCCAGTCTGACCATGCTGCTCGTGTGTCAAAGCTACACACCAGCAAGGAGAAGTACCCGTGTTCTGTGCACCCATGCACCCACTGCCCTTCCACACGTTACTATATGCCCATAGCTCTCCATGAGTTGGAGAAGGAAGTCTGAATCACAGAGCCTCCGCTCCTCATGGAGTCTTCCAGACAGGGAGCTTCCACAAGCAGAAGAGGCTCCCCACTTCATACTTTGCCCTCCAACTTGTGGGGAGCAACTGGAGAATTTGGGCCAGAGCATAGTACACCTGCACCTGGTGACATGTTCACTCTACCCATGAGCATCACACCCAAATAAGGCTAAGGAAGATGAAGCTGCCCTCCAAGAACCAAGAGACACAGTTTGGTCTAGCAGGGACTGTCACCGTTGTTTTCGATTTCTCTACTGCGAGTAACCAAGAGTTACTAATAGCTGTGGGTGACCTGTTGTTCTATATTCTCAAACACTGGTATAAGAGCTAAGAGGATACTGGCCTCGGTCCAGTATACCTGAAGGAGCGTCTCCACCCCATTGTTCTGCCCAGACACTGAGGTCCAGCGCCAAGGGCCTTCTGGCGGTTCCCTCATTGCAAGAAGCAAAGCTACAGGGAACCAGGCAGAGGGCCTTCTTGGTAGTGGCACCTGCCCTGTGGAACGCCCTCCCACCAGATGTCAAAGAGAAAAACAACTACCAGACTTTTAGAAGACATCTGAAGGCAGCCCTGTTTAGGGAAGCTTTTAATGTTTAATAGGTTATTGTATTTTAATATTCTGTTGGAAGCCTCCCAGAGTGGCTGGGGAAACCCAGCTAGATGGGTGGGGTATAAATGATGATGATAATAATAATAATAATAATAATAATAATAATAATAATAATAATAAAATAATGTTCTGTGCATTGTATGGAGATTGAAGCCCAATTAACTTGTGCTTCCATGAATTCACTGGAAGTATGGAGGGTCCACACCCTGCAGGTTCCTGATTCAATGCCACTATGTTCTGCAGTTCCGTCCCTGACGTTTGGGCAGGATCTCTGAACAGGGATGCATGAAGGTTTTGTGAAATTTCACACAATGGCTTACAAAGTTACCTATGACCACTTAGTTGATCCTTAGTAGCAATACATATCTGTTGCAATTTGGTGTGTTTAGATACGAAGTATATCTGGGTTTCTAAACGTATTTGCTTTTTTCGTTTTGTTTTCACCAGGTGGCATCATGTTGTCAGTAGAAAGTGTGTCTGGTTCCAAACTCTCGTAGGGCGATCTGGGGAATGGTAACTGTGCAGCTGCAATTGTTTAAGGGGATTACACATCTGAGAGCAAATTAAAACAAACAGGGGTGTGGGGGTAAATATGAGGTTAAAATCTTACTGGAAACATGTCATTTCAAGTACAGATGAGCAGGCATTGCCCCCACCCCCCATATCAAAAACTCCGCCAGTGGAAAGCCAGAACGTAAAGGGCAAAGGTTCAGGCTTAGCCATATCACTGATGTGCTAGCTTTCCACCAAAGTAAGCTTTTGACACGGGGGAACAAAGGAACATTTTGGCCCTTATAATCATTCCAAGGTGGAATAGCATGTTTTTGTGGAGTAGAACTCATGCCATTGCAAACAAGCTCCTATGCCAAAATTATAATACACTGTGTTGATATGAGGCATACTGAAGGGCTACGGTAGGTGAGAACATGCTGTCTTCTCCATATGTTGATTAAAATTTTATTTTACAAACATATATACTTCTGTGTTGGACCACTGCCTTATTTTTTATGGTCCTGTTTCACTTCCATACCGGATAGACACTTGACTACCTGAGTGCGCCATTAGAGTAGGTTGGGGAGGCTGTGGCTTTCTAGCTGTTGCAGGAGTCCAGCTTCTATCAGCCCCCGACAGTGTGACCAGTGATAATGGGGAGCTGTCCATCAATATCCAGATGCCACAGATTCACCATTCCTGTATGAGGGGGATATGTCATGCAGGCTCCTATGCTGGCAGTATAAGCAATGTGTGGGCAGGCTGAGGGACTTGTGCACTTTGATCTTCATTTGCTGATTATGTCTGCAAAAAAATAAATAAATAAATCAGAATTTGGATCCGTAACTCAAACTAGGCATACTTTGGTCCCACACAGATCTGCATGCAAAGGCTTCATATTGAAAGGTCACCCCAAAATTTCTCAGTTCAGCTAAAAACATGTGACAAGCATTTTAAAACGAGCATATATGGAGTAAAGAAAAAACCAAAAAAGCTTTTCAAAATAGGATTTAAAAACTCTCCGCTCTACCACCCTCAAAATGCTAGTAATAATAAACAGCCAATATAGAGAATGAGTTAGTTGTGATGGTCAGTTCCAATCAATCTGTTTGGAGCAAAATATACAGAGGTGGTACTCGGCTCATTTATTTACAGGACATTCAGAAGAAAAATGCTGAAGAGTACACAGCCACTGACCAGACCAACTAGAAAAGCATTACTCACAGCAGACAATTGCTTTCTTTTTCTGAATTTGCACAAAGAGGGCTTGAGATAAATCAGCACTTTTTCTGCCCCATGAATTAGAAAGACAGAAATTAGCCTTGAAATGAGGTGGCCATGTTGTCCTATTTTGCTTAGAACAGTCCTGCACCTATTATTTGTTTTTATTTATTTATTAAAACATTTCTTACCTGCCCTTCATCAGGGCAGTATTTTATTTCTTTATTTTCAACATCTGCATCTCAGCCCATAACACAAAATTCTCTGGGCAGTTTACTATCTATCTATCATCTATCTATCTATCTATCTATCTATCTATCTATCTATCTATCTATCTATCATCTGTATCATCTATCACCTATCTATCTATCACCTATCTATCTGTGTAATTATAAAAGCAAACATCAAAGCATAATGTCAAAACAATATAAATACAACCCAAACAGCATACATTGCAAGATTAAAAATAGGCACTTAAAAACTGAACAGCGTATGTTCTTTGGAAGGTGTAGGTAAGCATAATGGTCTTCACCAGTTATGCAAAAACATGAAAAGAATTCATGCAAAACAATATTTAAAAAGAAACGCAACAAACAATGAAATGAAACACACCGAATCATGAAACCAAAACACCTCTGACTTTAAATTGCCTCTAAAATGTTTCAGGCAAATAGGTGAGAGTTAACCAGGCAAGAAAAGAATGTAGTGTCAGTGTCAAATAGGCCTCTTTGTGACAGTTTCAAAGTTGGGGTGCCACCACAGAAAAGACATTTTCCATAGTACATACATCTTCAGGAAAATACTTGGAGAAGAACCTCTACAAGAAATCTTAAAACATGGACAGGCTGGGATGCAAATACCCTCAGGTATTTGGGTCCCAAGCCATTTAGGGTTTTAAAGGTAAGCACCAGCTGCACCTTAAATTGGGCTCATTTGTATAAAGGGCTGTCAGAGGGCAGTCCTGTGTTTGATCAAATACTCTGTTTAAAATTCTAGAGTTTTCCAAGTCTAGTTTAAAGTTAAAGAAGTGTAAGAAGTTAAAGAAGTGTAAGAAGCAGGACACAGGTGGCGCTGTGGGTTAAACTACAGAGCCTAGGACTTGCCGATCAGAAGGTCGGCGGTTCAAATCCCCGCGACGGGGTGAGCTCCCATTGCTCGGTCCCTGCTCCTGCCAACCTAGCAGTTCGAAAGCACGTCAAAGTGCAAGTAGATAAATAGGAAGGTAATGGCGGGAAGGTAAACGGCATTTCCGTGCGCTGCTCTGGTTCACCAGAAGCGGCTTAGTCATGCTGGCCACATGACCCGGAAGCTGTACACCTGCTCCCTCGGCCAATAAAGCGAGATGAGCGCCGCAACCCCAGAGTTGGTCACGACTGGACCTAATGGTCAGGGGTCCCTTTACCTTTACCTTAAGAAGGGGTAGCACTGGCCTTCAAGTTGCCCAACAACAGTTAGCAGCTGGACAGCATACTGAACGAGCACACACAGCCCTCCCCACTATGGCGAGACCTGCTGTATTTCCAATTTACAGTTATTGTTTTTAAATTTGCATGTATACATATAAATTAGCATATCTATATCATATGCAAATTTGTGTCCTCTGATGCTTTTCTCCTTTCTGGTGATGGGTAAGTGGCTTGGAATGTGGTAGTGCCACAGCTGTGTCAGGATTAATAAAAACACCCTGAGATGGTTTGACTAGACTAGCACTATCTGTGAATTATTTAAAGTAATGGTTTTCATTTTGTGTGTGTGTGTGTGTGTGTGTGTGTGTGTGTGTCTTCTATTAACTCTGGCACACCTGCCAAAGAACATAAGAAGCAGTGTAGATTTCAGATGGCTCAGTGGAGGGGGTTATAGGGTGCCCACTTAGTGGGATGCCTCCGCTTTTGGGCACCCTTGCCTTGATGGCGATGCCAACGCTGATTCTTTTCTTTCGGCGCCAGTCAAGGATACACCTCTTTGGCCAAGCTTCTGGAGGGCGGTGGCGATCTGGCTGGTTTCAG